ATTATTTCAATATATTCCAATTTTTTAAAGTTCCTCATGAACAATTTTTGTTGATTGCAATTAAACAATGCTAACAGAACAATAGAAAATAAATAAGTAGGAGCACCCTTCTTTCAACCTCATATATAATTCTTGATATACATGAAAACAATTATGGATTTCTCTATCCTTTTCCTAACCTGATGCTTCCACAGGTATTTTAGAACTGAAAATACCTTTCAGGACAAATCAGAAAACACCCAATTTTCAATGAATTCATTTATGTGGAGTCTTCCCAAAAGCTTACTCCAAAGTCTTTGCTGAGAGCACTATTTTGATTCTGAACAAAATAATGGAAAAAAGAACAAATGGCCCAAATAAATTAAACATTCCCTACTTAACACATTTTGAAAATTATCTCTGCATAATAAGTGCACTCATCTAACAAAAGCATATTTCTTTTTTGTTTTCACTATGCCTGAACATATACTCTCATTTTACATTTGTAGTGAGTGGTAATTGTGTTAAAATGAGGAACATTTTGAAATAGGGCACAACTTATATTATCTCACAGAATTGATTTCTGCTATTTTTTAAATTAGCTATTTTTTGTTAACCCTATTTTTCTATATATTACTAGCTCTCTGTATATCTTATAGAAAACCAAATATTCATAAATTATTTAGAATAATGAACATGTGCATTCATACAGGCTACTTAAAAAATACACACTGAATTATTCAATGCCCCAAATGTGTTCATACTATCTGTACTTCATGTTGTCTTTTCTGGTGCAATTTTATGACTTTATCTGAGGACAGACAGTAGGCACCTATTGGTAAATATTACCTAACTATGTTTTGGATATTTAAATTGTTAGAAATGCTAAAATGATGACTGTTACTTTTCACTTGACCTTTTTTGCATCTGGTTTTTAGTAATATGAATTTCAAATTCTTGGGTATTTTTATCAACAGTTCTCTGGGTTTTCTCTGTAGCCTATTGAAATTATTCTGCTGGTTTCATAATTGAGCACTGGGCTCTTAGGATATAGCTAAATAAAACATAAACATACTTTCCTCCAAGCTTGTCCAAACCCTGCCATCCCATAATGCCTTGCTCATGATATTTTGTGTCCAGTGAACACAAACCAGGTAATCAGGATTCATCTCACAATTTGCTATGCTATAGCACTGGTATTTTTTTTCCTCCTAAGATTGTTCAACTTTTATGGGATCTTGTTAGTTCATCCAGATTGTAAGTTCCTAGAGGTTGGAGGGAATGTTTAATTTATTTTTGTTTCCTATCAGCATTTTCCCTAGTGTCTCACACAGCTGTTATTAATGAATATATGCCAAGCCATTGATCAGTTGGCCAGTGTAGACATAAAGAATGAGTCTAGAGTCCCTAGTCTCCAGGCTGCTCTTAGAGTTCCTACCATGTTAGATGAGAAATAGGAGTAAAGTTTCTATCATTCAAAAAGATCAGAATAAACAGACCAAAATCTGTCTGCAAGCTGGATAGGTATAGCTTAATTTTAGTATTCAGGGCCAAAATTTACCTGAACTGGTAGACAACTACTTAAAAACTAAGCCAGAAACATGCTTGCCCTCAAATATCAACTTTTTTTTCAGTATATAGGATATATAGAGAGATATATAAATATATGTCTCTCTCTATATATACACATACATGTATATACACATATATATACATACACATGTATGTATATACATACATATATATAAATTTTTAAAAATTTGTTCTAATCAGTTTTAAATGACATTGGAATGCTTTTTGATACATTTTGCACAAATGGAGCAAATTTCTTATTCTCCTGGCAATACATGGTGCAGAGTCACAACTTAAATATCTACTTTTGCTTTTAATAAAGTAATTTCAAATTTCATATAATTTTCACCTTTGGATTTGACTTAGTTTTAGTTGCCGTTTGGGAAAAATGGAAAGCAAAGTGTACATGAAATAGGGGTCTAGAAAAGCTATGTAGATGGTGAAAAAACTATATTTATAAAAATGAAGGTATCATATTTTTCAGTGCTGTTATGTTCTGGCCAACAGCAGGCTCCAGGTTTATTTAATCTTTCCACCTATGACTATTGTACTTGCGAACAGTCAAAATGACAAGGTTACAGTGGTAAAGTGTGACAAGGTTATGGTGTAACTGGCATAGAGTTCTTTCTCAGAAACAAGAGGTGCAGATGGAAGAGTCACATAAAGCTTTTGGCTGATTCCTAGTAAAGCAAATAGATTTTTAAATTCTGTGCAAGCAAGAATCATGTATAAAGAGTATCTCAATTTTGCCTTGATGGAGGCAAGTAAATATATTTCTACCTGCAATTCAAGTCTTTTGCCCCATGAAACAGTACATATTCCAGACTTAAGTGACATAAGCTGAATCTGTGTTATTCTACAAAGAATGCCAATAATTTCAAAACTAATCATCCAACAACCCAGACTGTTTTATACTTCAAACACTATTAGGCTAATTTTAATTAATTACAGTAAAACAAACATTGCTTTCCATTTGTCAAAGTACTACACTAATTCTGCAGGTGTAGGGAGCACAGAGTGCACAATTGCTAAGACACATGTTCCATCTCAATCTGTAAATAGCTTTTCTTGCACCTCAGAAGATTGTACTGTACATGATTACACTCATCAAACTATGCAATATTGTCTGCATACTGGAATATATGTGAATACAAACAATCTTCAATATAAATGCCCAACACAGTTGCATATGAAATATGTCTCCTTTCATCGACTTTACTGACCTTAAAGTAAAACGGCATGAAAACACAGTATAATACTAGTGATGTATAGTTATAATACTTGCTAATGTTTGTCATGATTCACAATTTAGAAGCATCATTAACTTCCTCTTTATTATTTGATCATCTCAAAAACCCGGGATTATGCACACATCAAAGTTACTTTGCCTTTTTGCTGGCTTATAGAGAAACTGGGGAAACTAAATGATATTTCTTGGCCACTCAAAAAAATACCAGTGTAGGAAAGACAACCAGTTTTCAGAGACTGCACAAGTGTTAAGCACATCTTCATAAACTATAAAATGATGGGATGGGCTTCTTAAAGTGTTCATAATGGGATAAGGGAGGAGAAATACTTGAGATACAAATCCAAAACAAGAAATATTAGCTATGAATGCCTGCTATGCTGACCTTATGGAAGTAGGGTAAAATAAACAAGTATTTCAAGTATATTGGTATTGAACATATATGTCTAGAAATTAATTCCACAAAAAACAAGGAAATATACAACCCCCTACTAAGCCCCCCACACACACACACCCAATTCTAATTCATATGAGAAAAAAGTCTATCACTCTATCCGGGAGATAATGCTGTAAGCTAGTACTAACCTGAAATTTCATGTCACTTTTATTACTTAAAAAAAATACAATAAAAACAAGATAAAAGACAGGACCAGTCAGATACTCTTTCACTGATAAAAGGCATGAAGATCTTGGCCTCCCAAACCAACAGTCTGGCTTTTTCTGTGCTACAAAGAACAGTCCTGGAGCTCACTTCATCTCAAATGTAAGTAACTATACAGTTGGGTCTATTCTTCCTTATTTTCCTCAATTTAATGTGCAATATTACTGTGAATTTTTCCCAAACAAAATATAACAAAAGAAGAATTTCTTGGAAGAGATACGACAGGGAGCGCCTACACAAGGGAGTGAGTAAAGAAAAATTAAGAAACAAGATGAAAAATATCAGTGTAATCAATCCATACATTAGTGTGCCTCTTTTATCAGACTCTCAAAAAAACTTTAGAAATGCCTCTCTGTCTTTCTCTCCATTATATTAAGTGATTTGAACAGAAGTCACACAATCCTCTGGAGCTGTGTGGTGCATTTGCGACTCACAGTTGTATCAGGGACAGACTATATTCTTAGATTGGTTAAAGATCACCACATGAAGGAGCGCTGGCATCCCTTTGCCTCCAATTTACAGTACAGATAGGGACACTCTGGCTTCATGGCATTTAGTACTTGGCTCTATTAATGTGAAGGAGAGAGAAGAAAAGGAGCAAACTAATCTGTGACATACATAAAATGATCTCACAAGGGAGATGAGAGTGATGTAACTTATATATCATGCCGACTTTCAGTAATGTCCAGATTTAGCTCTAAAGCACTAACCATTGTTGAATATCAGTGAAATCTAAATTTGGTTTTTGTCTTGAAAAAATTACATTTTCATATTGAAAAGTTAAGTGTCTTACAAACTTAAGGTAATCAATACAGTACCTGTCTCTTTTCAACTGTGTTGTTTATAATATTCACCACCCCCTAAAATAAGAATCATTTATCACATGCACACATACAAACACACCAACACAGAGACAGATCTTAGATTGTAAACTGCAGGTAAAAAGGGCAAAAAGGAATATTAAGATATTTTGAAATGCCTGAAGAGATTATTGGGTTGTGACCATGTGCCTATTCTATACAAAAGAGAATTGGAAGGGTATTTAAAATAGTCTTTATGCATAGAAAAGCTATTGTCTTATTTTATAATTATAAACACTAAAATAATATTCAAATAGACCAATATGAAAAAGACTTGTTCAAAACTCAATCCCTAATTTAAATACTTTCCACTGTACCTTTTCATATCCACCCTACAACTAGGACATGCTTGTCACAGCCACACACAGTTTGTTTTGAAAGAGGTTCAGGATATTTGAGTAAAAACACTGGCTATGATTTGTGGGTAACAACGGGTGCCTAAAAATACTGCTGCTGAACAATGGCACTGGGTAGTCAGGTGACATTTTGGAATTGGTAAAATATTGGATTGTTCTGATCCTGGTTCACTTCTGCTGCTATGGAACTGAACCAGGATCAGAACAGATCCCTACATTTAAATACTTAGTTTTTATTTACTGTGAAGAAAAAAGAATCATAACATGAGAACATGTGTCATGAATACAGGGACATTGATGGAAAATAGCAGAAAATGAGCTTTCACCTCACAGGGCTGTTGGAAGAATCTGGGTCATGAGCGGCTACAGTGCCAATGATATTGCCAACTTGGGTAGCTTCTGAGACCTCCATGGGGTACAAGGGCGAAGAAAACACGGGAGGCTCATCCACGTCTTCTACAATTATCTTCACGGTGGTTGTGTCACTGAATGGCCCCAAGCTTAGAAACCGGGGGTCGGCATCTTTATTTGCAGCTTCTATTCGTAGTGTGTAACTTGTTTTGGCTTCAAAATCCAGTTCCTGTAAAGAAAGGTATTAGAGAAATTAAATTACCAATTAGAGAGTCAGCAAAGCGGAGCCTTTTCATTTATGAATGTCAATAAGCATCGCAAGGACTCTGCCATGAATATGCACCATCAGCATTCACAAATAATAAGTCATAATGCCAATCAGTCCTTGTGCTCTCCTGGCTCCCAGACAATGGTAAGTGCTTTTGAGCTAACTTAATCACTCTGCTGCCGTGCGTCTCAGGGACAGACTCACGACTTGAGAACGTTACTTGTAAGACAGCCCACCAGATTCTAAACTATATTCCAATAGGACATCAATACAAACATGTTCCTCGACCATGTAATTCATCGGCACAACTCAAGGTACGTGTTAAAGAGGAAGAAAAACAGCTTTCCTTTCAATTTCTCATTGTTCATAAGGTCAGTGACTCAGGGTGACTACATTAGGATCCTGAGCTAGGCTGGACCAAGTATGCAGCCTCAGCAGCAGGTGGGAGTTAGTGAGGCTGACCAGGTTGCAAACACTGCTGATTTGATTCTTCTCCAGGAAGCACCTGTCATGTCTACCTTCATTATTTCTCTATTAACATACACTCTCGTTTTATTTATTTTTTTTTAGATGATTGACAGTTACATTCCAGAATCTTCACTCTGTATTTAAATTTATAAGAGGATTAGCATGCTAAAATGTTTCTTAAAGATGGTGAACGGGACAAAACATTAGGAGCTTAAAAGGACAGCAAGGGCTAGTAAGTGAAGCATCATCTGTGACTAAAATAATAACTCTCTATATAATATGTGACAATAACCTTGTCTTTCTCCAATGGACCCAGAAAACAGCAGCATTTTATGAGATTCTCAATCTCACCACCGAAAGACTGCTCCAAAATATATTTGATGAGGTAAAACAGAAATAATTAATAATAATAAAGAAATTGAAAGAAATA